GAAGGGTACTTCATGTTGTCTGATGACAGCTGATAGCTCGGATGATGATATGATCAAACGTCAAGAGCTAGAGCCATACAGTTTTTAATTTATTTTTTTCATTTCTCCTTATTGCTTGAACTTGTTATGAATTTGGTATCAACATGAGTTTCTTTATTGTGTTTTGTTAAGGACATATACTATACCTGCACTGAACTGCCTATAGGCATTGCTCTATGGTACAAATAAGTGATTTAGACTTTTATGAGATGATATTTCTAATATATATAGTATATTCAGATGAAATTCATATGAAATATAAGAACCTATTTTAAGAACCTTGGTAACCTAAATTTGCTTTAAGTACCATTTATATAAGAACCTATTTAGGCTAAATTAAAAAATTCAGGTTCTTATATGTGGGCTATTACTGTATACCTATATGTTAAAAGCTGTTTCTAAAACTGTGGTTATACATGTACTGTACATCAACTGAACCAAATCTCTGCAAGTTTACTTGAAAATGTTTTGATGTTCTATGAAGAAATACATGTAAGATGGTGATCACTAATGAGAATTTAAGATTTTGAAATTTTTGTATGTTGGTGATTATGCTGGCTTGTGTTCAGCACTTCTCATTCTGATTTGTTTTTCCTATGGGCTAGACATCACTGATTTGGAATTAGTAAACAGGCTTTCCAATGGCAAAGTGGACCTCACGTTTGGAAGGTAGGTGCATTGGTTTTATAAAAATTATTGCCAATTATCTTTTCTGAATTTGATTTATTTAACGTATCAAGTTGTAGTTAACTGTAAAACAAAATCTAGTCTGAACAAAATGGTGACTGGAAGCACATAGCGATTTTTACCTAAGACCTGTAAACCTAGTATCCATAACTATTTCAACAAACTGATTACATTTTTGATGGAAAATATGGTGACTTGGTCATGTTACACATGCAAAACTTAAAATTTACAATACCGGTATATCAGCAATTGACATGGCCTCTGCTATAAGCCTCATGGTTTTTAGTTTTGGAGGTCTCCTTGCCACCTTTTGTTTGTTATTGTACAGTTATTATTTTTTATTATTATAATTTACCGTGTGGCAAACAAAAACGACGATAAAGGTGATGATGATGTTTCCAATGATCTAAATAACAATATAGACCTTTGAGGATAGTAATCAGAGATTATGATGTGAGGGAGTGGGGGTGGGGGGTTATTGTATTACTTTAAAAAGTATGAGATTCATGTTAGTTCATGATGAAATAATTTTGTTCCAGTGCTTTGGATCTGTTTGGTGGAAAAGGAGTAAAATACACAGACTGCGTGGATTGGAATAGAATCCACCCAAGATAGCAGATCAAGGATATGGAAGTTATCAGATTTTTCCACAATAAACAGATCAAGTGAAGTGCAAAGGAAAACATCCAGAATAGCAGATCAAGGAGGAAGAACATAAAAAAAAATCATTTCAAATGATTGCAGCAGTGCAATACTCAAGCACCAAAGAGATCTGAAACTCTTTCTTGTACATCAAAGATGAGCAGTAATATGGAAAAACATTTTCTTCATATTTATTGTCAGAAATGTTTTGCTCGGCAAGTCTAATAGATAACAATAACAATTGATACCGTTTGCTAACAAAAGTACCACACAGAAAAGTCTTGCCATTCATTACAGAATCACTATTAGCTTTGTTGAAAACAATATGCAATTCTACTTGCTCACTTGTAACTTTTTTGCAATGGCTCTAAGTTAGGCCGCTTTCAAATTCCTTGTCTGTTTTACTAGAAGACTATAAAAGTACAAAGGAGCATAATATTTATTGTCATTATTACTCTGTTCGTTAAAACTAAATAATTCAATATTCTCTATACACAATGTATTGTCGTGGTAAAAGCAGGGAGCTCAAACAATACATGTGATGGTACTGTAGGCAGTAAAACTGGCATTAATCACTGTCAGGGCATTTCCATAATTAGAAACTCTCGCTGTATGACTCTCCATTGTCACTTTTTGATTCTCTGTCATGACTGCCATCTGCATCTCCCTGGAAAAAAGGTCACATTAAATTGCAGTTAAGGGACTGCATCATAGTTGATAGTGATTAGTCTCTGTTTTAAAAAGTATGGCTAGGAGCTAGGGTTTTATACACATTATGCTCCATTTTTCACCATTATGCTAATGTTCAAGGCTTGAAAAACATTACCATTATGCTCCATTGTGCTCACAAAAAAGCAAATATTTACCCTTAACACTTATTATATAGAAGCATGAGCGACACCTCAGTGTAATCATCCACTGCTCTAGCTTTGTTATTGTGAAATGAGTTTTCAGGTAAGGAAAAAACTTGCTCTGATGCAGCAGAACAACAGCAGTTGAATTGGCAAAACTTTTTGGCATGTGCTGTGTGTACTGTGTAGTCAAGTGACAGGTGCCCATATGGAAATTAGGAATGAGAACCTCCAACTGATGATAATCAGCCCACCTGTGTGCAGTTTTTAACTTCATTTAGGAGTCACCCAAGTGTAGTATGCCTTACCTCAGCGTCGTCATCATCATCATCCTCATCCATTTCCTCAACTTCTTCCTCCTCTTCACCCGCTGGTTCCTCTGCTGCAGACTGCTGCGACATTATTTCCTGCCCTTGTATATCCCTGTTTTTTAGATTTCCAAGCCAGAATGCCTCATGACATTTGTTTAGTGTAAGCATTGCCTGCAAACAAGGTCACAAATGTATTCAGCCCTCTCTTGTTTCATGGTTTAGTGACAAAAGAGACTTTTGAAAGACTAAATGCACATGGTCAGAAACACTTGACAACATGGCCAACAATGTTGAAACTTTGTGCATCAAGAAGTTTCTTTGCTGTAGTTCATTCAACATTATTTTTATAACTATTTAATTGTGTTATTACTTTATTATCGTCATTTTTTTGGACTCAGATATCATTGTTGAAGGGTTTAAAATAAGTGATCAATCAAAAACATGTCAGAGTGTGGAAGAATAACTTTTGGAACAATCTTAAATTGTATTCGTCTATGTACAACAACAAAAATCAGAAACAACTCCTTTTACATGTAGTTAGTACTGTACTGCTAAACTGAACACATTGCACGAAGTAAAACTGAAAAGGCTTGGGTCAGCCACGTGATGTGTCCCATTGGGATCATGGTGAAGTATGTATTGCTGAAATGCAGACTGAATATATAACTTGGGAAACAAACAGGATTGGTTTTGGTCTTAAACTTGGTAAGGGTGTATAAAAAAAAGTAAGGTAGGGGTGTATAAACTTGGTAAAATTGCATGGCAGTGAAATATGTATGCCATAGCTCCTACCAGAATTTATTCATCCAATAATAACAAAAACCTCCTGCCTCCTGTGGTAAAGAACATGTTAACAACTTAAAAGTGTACCTTGACTCTGAAGACAAAGGTCTCTAGGCACCTCTTGAGTGCTGGGACATGATTCGTAAGAGACAGATCTTTTGCCACCTAATCAAAGATGGAAAGTATGATTATAGTCAAAAGTCTTGGAAATCAAACCATGGCAAATTACCTGCGATCAGGTATTCTTTGTTCCACGGGCGGTGGAAGAGAGGGATTCAGGGAAATAGAAAGGCTGAGATATTTGTTCGATGAGTTCTCTGTTGCCTCCAAATTGAATTCTGTGAATGGTGCAATCAGCGATTTCATCTAATAGGTATGAAAATCAGAATTTATGGAAAATCATGTTTTTACTGGGACATTCGCATTGTCATTTTATGAGGTTATGGATATCTGTCTATTAGCATTTAAACACTCTTATTTACTGACCTTGCTGTGACTGCAAAAATGTTGGAGTGATCTCGTACTTTGTTGCAAGTTTTTTAACAATCCATGGATATCATCCTTTTGGAACAAACGTACAGTGAGAAGAAGTCCCTTATTTGAAATGGAAACTTCAGCTTGTATTTTTAAGAATAACTTGACCAAGTAACTGACCTACCCACAACCAGTCCACCAACAGACTTATTGACAGACAGACAGACAGACCAACCAACCAACTGACTAACTACCTAGATGACTGACTGACTAACTGACTGACTCACCAACTGACTGACTGACTTAAACCCACCAAACAACAGATTGACCGATTGACTAAAGAGCCAACCAATCATTAACCTGACTGAGCATGGGACTGATGACTCGCAAAATCACTGACTGAATATTAAATGACTGGCTGAATGATGACTGGCCAAATCATTGACTAACTGAATGACCAACTAAAAGACTGACCAACCAACTGACTGCCTGCCTGATGTACATGTAGTTGGTGACATACTCACTAATGGACTCACTTAATTTGGTTAGACTCTAGAAGGGAAAGGGTGTAAACTTGTATGTACTTTATCGCAGTGTTTGTCAATATATAAATTACAAACCTTGTGCATCCTGAACATCAAATCGAGTACTGGCATTCCTAACTTCAAGAATATGTCCACAAATAAACGCCCATACTGTAAAACGAGTGAATTAAAACATTTCAAAAATTAGCCAAAATTTTAAAAATTGCAATGTTAAGTGCAGCCATTCTTATACTTGGACCAAAACTAATACAAAGACTGTCAGTTATAATACCTTTAATGAGGCTCCAATGATAGATCTCTGATCAAAAGCCTGGTAAAATTGAAAGCAGAATGAGAACTTTAATTCTGAGTTCAGTTTTGTACTTTTCACTGCTACGATATGTTGTAAAGACTGCTTGAGCCAAAGCAGCCTTCAGAGCAGAGGTTATCCCATATGAAATGTTGCAGCCAGGAGTAAAATATTTATGATAAACACTGTTTCACATTAACCACAGCAAAATGTTTGAGACTAGCTTACCTTTACCAAATTTATCATAATATGGAAAATCCGCACAGAAATGTTCAGTTTAACAAGTCTCTCTTTGTGAGTCTGATGGTATGAAACAAAAGTCAAATCCAAAATGGAAGTATTCTTAATTGTCTAGAGGATTAAGCATTTTAAAAAATCTTCTAAGGAACTTAATATGTTTTTTTCTTTTGTGGACACATGGTTCAACATCTTGGATCATATGCACTAACAGCATCCATGGTTGCGTGTCAATCGATACTCTCCATCAATACCCTCAATCGACCCTCAATCGACACTCCACTGACACCTCGGTTGAAACTCGATCGACACCTCATTGACATCGCGGTCAACAGTCGGCTAATTTTCGATCAATACAATCATATGAGTCCATCCACACTCAGCCGACTATCGACCGACTGTTGATCAAGTGTTGATCGTTGATCAAGTGTTGATCAAGTGTCAACTGAGTATCAATTGGGATGTTGATCAAGTACCGATGAAGATTCTAATCGAGCGTATTGATCGACAGTCGATCACAGATGCCATTAGTACACATGATCCAACATCTCTATAGCACAAGAAGAAGTTGTAGAAGTTGTACACAGAAGAGTTGTCTCACAAAGATGTTCAATTCAGAGGGTGATAACTTTAGGACAGAGAAAAGAGAAGGTTGCTGATGGTACCAGGGCATCTCCTTAGACAGAGATGTACACTTAGGGAAAGGTGTNGTAGAGTTACAGTCAAGCCTAAGCAGTGCACACTACTGGAGTTTATCCCAGTTAGTTTATGTCATTGGGTGGCTATGAGTATTGCTGATCCCCTGGATGGTATGCTACTCAGTCACAGCTTATAATTAGCCCATAGAATTTTTTCTTCTTGTCAAAACAGGTTGACCATGTATATCATACCAAAATCATTTGAGAAAGAGCATACTTAAGAAGTTCTTGAAATCCAGGCTGTGACTTGTTAGAAAGCTTTATGCGTGATGACAGCACAAACAATGCCTTCTTTAAAAGACTCTGATGTTCACTCATCATATAACCACTCCTAAAACAAAAAAAAAGTTAAAACAAACACTGTTCTGATCAGATGACTTTGATCAGATGTTTAAAATCCTGAAGTAAGGCACTGTTGCAAAACATTGGTTAAAAAGCAAAATAATAACCCCAAAACCCTGAAAGTATTTTATTAACATATTCCATCAATGTATACCTCTTAAAAAAACTTTTTACCCTGAAACCCCCCTTTACTTTCAAAAATATATCACAGCATCCGTTCTCATTGTGAAAAAGCCTACAAGAGAAGCTGATTCTGCACAGATTTTTGAAGGATAAACTGGAAGGACCTCCTACGTGTCATTCAAGGTTAATAAATAAACCATGTTTCATGAGAGCAGTTAGTTAAATTTACTTCAACACAATCTTTAAATATTCTATTTCTGTAATAAACACAAACCATCCAAAAAGAGTCTGCAAAGAATTGAAAAGCAGATGGAAACAGGAAGCCATATTTTGTGCTTCTGAGGTATTATGACCTGGGCCATCTATCAGTCCATCATTTTGGGCTATCAAAGCCTGCAAATTGAGAAATAGTAATTAAAAAATTAATTATTCAAGCAGAGACAGTATTTTTTTAGAATACATGTACCTACTCTGTATTAAGTCATAGAGAATATGTTCCATACATTTAAACAATGAATAATGGTTTGTGGGTCATCCATCTTATAGCATTGCTGAACTCCCTCGTATTAGAAGAAGTGAAGGAACAAGCATAACTGTCATACCTGAAAGAAAGCACTGGTAGCTTCTAAATGCTCACACAAGGCTGGCAGCAGGTCCACAACATACTTGGCTACTTCCTTTGATGAATGTCTTGACAAGTTGGAGAAGCCCACCAGTTTATCCTGACGAGCCTACATCAGGTTAGGGTTAAACAGCAATATGGTTATGATCCAAGTTAGCATACTGACTAGGATTACAATAATACACATGGAATGGTTCACAAAACAAAGAGTTAAGTCTACAACATTGCAAATGTGGCCTTGACAAAAGAAGTAACCAGATAATTCACGATTGACAAATGATGCAGTTAGCAATAGGTTTTCTCATATATATGGAATGAATTATGCACTACCACCCATGCAAAGATCATCCCTTCAATACGTGGTCAATAATCTACCATGGATGGAAAAAGTAAGATTCTCCATAAAATGTCAAGCAAATGTTGAGTTAAATGAAGAACTTTATTTTCTGCATGCTTACCTTGAGAAAGCTTCTTCTGGAAGACGCAGATGCTGATAGTGAATGTTGTAGTTTCCTGGAAAGATCTTCCAATAAAAACTCAAGCTGAGGTGCCTGGAGCTGCACAATAGTTGTCTCCTTTACAGCAAACACCGACACAAAACAGAAAACAGAAAATGTGTTTTATCACTGCAATACGAGTAACTGTTTGCTGCTGAGAGTAAGACAACACAATTTAATACTTGCAATAAAAATATGCCACAAATGATCTCAAAATTGCCAGGCATTTGCCATGATAAGAGTGCTTCAGATTAATAATTGGGTCTGGCCTGAATGTGTGATTGTGGTATTCTATAACAAAATGCAATTATGCAGGTTTAACAACACTTATTTTTTTCTACAAACCTCTGTATTCATGTCTGAATCCAGCACAGCACGGGACACTAATCCACATTTAAGAATATTGAATGTTTTAAGATCCAGCTCCCTATAAACAAGGTCAGACAGAGTGGAGTTAATAACAACCTCCCCTATTGAGATCAAATGTGCTGTTAACATTTACTGTTGAAAATGGTTCATAACTACAGTCAAAAGTCGAAATAAAGCTAAAGAGAAAAACTAAAAAGTAAATGGGATTGCTTTTACCTAAGAGATGCTCTATACTGTGACATTGACACTGACACTGGCTTTTCTTTCTCTTTAACTTCTTTGGCATTGTCTTTCTGTGTATCACTTTCTTTGTCATTGACATTTTCTTTTTCCATCTCTTTTATCTACAAGCAAAAGACACAACTGGATATTCATTCTTCACGGCATTAAGCATCATGTTTGTTAATGGTTGAAAAAGCTACGAAGCTAATAATATTAGAAATAAGAATCCCCTCATAGGCAATGAGTCAAGCAGTCCTGGTTTGAATCTAATATTAGGATTAGAATTTTAGGTTTACGATCTTAGACATTTTATTGGACTTTATTGTACCTGATGAATTTTTATTGAGTATAAATAATGATTAAGAAAGAAAGAAAGAACCCTTGCCTGGATACATGTACTTGGACTGTGTTCAAGGGCAAGATCTAAGTTACATGTATATGCTTGGTGGCCCACTACACCCAATAGTACTAGTAGGCATAGGTTGTGATGAAACTACAACAGCCACCAGACAAAACACTGCAGGTAACCTTTGATCGATTGGGATCCTACCCAGGGGGCAAAAAACAATAAATAGAAATTTGCAGTGGCAAATGCCATGGAGAGATTCTTCATCCACTGTGCTTCCAGACTGAATTTTAATCTGAAAGTGTTGGAATGCTCTGGAAAATGCCTAGAACTAGAAAGAGCGTTCAACTGATATTACATATATTAGGAACTCATTCTACCTTTACTTATCTTGTATATTCCTCGTAAGAGGGCTAAGCTACTTTTTTCACCCTTACGTCAAAATCAGTTGACATATCAATCAAGGCAGTGGAGAGAGCCATGGCAAGCCTCTAATCTTAGAGACATATTTAACACTGTTGCAGGGCTGCTAGTTATTCCTACTGAAAATGCTTCTTTACCTTTTCTATGGAATCATCAGCTTTTTCACTGTTAGACCTATGAAAAACACAACATTCAGGTTATAAGCAAAATAGGTTAATAAATTGTTTCAAATTCAATGCCGAATACTTGAGATAAAATAACGACTTACATGTATTTGTGAGAAAGATTGGTCATTTGGTACCCAGACTGGTCATCATGAGTTTAAATAAACTAGAACCTGAGGCTACAGCTAGCAAAACCAGCACTGATGTTTGTAAAACTTAAGCCCATTCAAGTTATAAAAGCTTACATTTTACATCTCTAGACCATCTGGAAGTTACATTGATGGCATGCATTTACAATACAAAGATGAGAAGTGCAATGTGTTTCTACCCTTTCTTTGCTTTCTTTCCTTTTTGGGGTTTTCCTGTATTTCCATGAGGAGCTGGACTCGTCGCCAGTGACTCTTCAAAATCAAATGTAGCAAGGGAAGGCTTATATGATGGAGTGGCTGAAAAAGTTTCAATTCACAGACTAAAATAAACAGCTAATTTTGGAAAAATGATATTACAACCAAAAATACAACCTAAAATACAAATTCAACAGCTCAAAAAGGGATGATGGTGACAATCTGTTCAAAATTGTCCTAGGACAGAGAAGTTCTTAACCTCATTTTTCTACCGATTTACAGCCTTATGAACACCAAATTGTTATCATTTTTATGTTGCTTAGATGCCAAAATTGAAATGCTGACAAAGAATCACTGAGCTATGTTGAAAGCTGTGTTGCAGCTTTAGGAAAAAACTTGAAGCAAGAACAGAACTGTCTAACAAACATCATCAAACTTGCTCATGGAATTGAAAATCAACAAACCTGCAAGGCACTTTTCAAGAACTTTACACAGATCTGTGATGTTCTGCAATCTAGCAATATTCTTTCCCCTTATTTCAGGGTCTTCTTGGGTTGCAAATGCATTCACAACCTAAAAATCATGAAGGATTTTCGACTTGAAATAACTGCACATCATAATGAAAATTACATTTTGGTCATACAAATAATTCAGAAGATATTTTGTTTAAACACCTGGCACAACAAATAGATACATGTACCTCTCTGAACCAGTTCACTGTGTGAAACAAAGTGCCACAAATGACCTCTCTATCTGCTTGATCTAACGAAGCAATTTCATTGGCCAGTTCTTGCTTACAACTAACCAGTGGACACCCTGCACAAGAGATGTATAAAAGAAGTCAAATAAATATATAAATAAATAAGTAAATAAATGACAATGCACAATCATCTCTTTTGATCCCCTTCCCTCTTCTGTGGAGCATACAGCATTTACAATGTCCCGCCACACATCATGGTCTTGGGCATTTTTTTTTCGACACAGTACATACAATTAATTTTCTTACTTATTGGTCACCATTTCCAGTTGTTTATCCCCAAAAGAATAAAATTACCATGACATGCAAGGATAGGTAGCTCAAGTCACAGTGTGAAAAGAAAGTCTTGACTAGTTATTTAATTAAAAGACATAAAATTTTACCTAAAAGAGCATCAATTCCTTCAAGATCACCCTTGTGCTGACTTTCTTCACAAGCCCTCAGTAGACGGAAATGTGGTGCAAGGCAAATAAGGGAGATGGGAGCACTGATTTAAAGATAAAAGCAGTGAACAAAAAATTGAAACAACATCATGTATAACAGGCAAGGGTTATGGAGGGATTATTTTCAGACACTGCTATAATTTGGTTATGTAAGTACTCCGACAGCAATGAGTTTTGTCGTATTTTGTTTCTCATAGAAAGCAGTTCTCTTTTCCACAGTGATACCAAATTTCTGGCAGTTAGCTCTATGATTGCTCAAACTTGCAACTTTCAATTCTACTTGTAAGTGTACTAGTAAACTTTAGGTACCATCTTTATTCAATTGCAAGGCAATACACAATTACATTTCTCTTACCTATCACTTTTTTCTTTGCTACTTGCATTGTTTCTGGAGGCCAGTAGTACTGGAAGAAGGTTGACAGCAATACTGCCTTCCTCTGACTCATCCAAAGCATGACACAACTCCACAGGAAGACCATCACTGGGAAAAGAAAAATGAGTCTAATTATTAGCATCTACATTTCATTCTTTATATTTCCTGTCCCACATGTGCACACTACACACACAAAAAATTGTGTTTGCCCCAGGTCTAAACTAAGTCAACACAAGATACTGAGGGGTTTTATTAAGGCTCAGGCACCAGGCAAATTGACCGGCTGTGAGGATGATTTTGCCGCCTGGTTTGACTGTCTAGGAGTAGTTTTGTTCAAAAAGTTTTGCTGGTCAGGGAAAACGATACTACAGTGTGATTAAATCAAATTGGTATTATACGATTATTTTGATGTGTACCTTATTCTACAACTTTACATGGTAAAATCACACCATAATCGATAAAAAACATGCAAAGAACTGGTGCCAAGCATGGGGAAGTGTGTGATAGCAAGTCACAATATATTATTGGTTCAGGCTTTGCATCTGTCATTGGTTGAATGCAGCAACATAACCAGAAAGCCCCATTTTGCCAGTTCAGGTACCCACTGTACTGGTGGGACAGGACCTCATTTATAAGATAAGATAGCTAATGTCACCTGGCAATTGGTGCTTCCCTGTCTACCAAAAAGTCATCTTGAAAGTCTGCAACAACTGTTTCACTGATCCATGACTGTAAGTGAGAAATGCTAAGCAATGATTTACCTCAGCAACGGGAAACAAGAAATCTTAAATGAAATTCTTCTGGTTCATAAAGATTAACAACATGACTTGATGCAGCTGGAATAAAAGAATATTAACATTGCCTCCAAAATACATATCAACTTAATTGCAGAAGAAAAAAATCAATGCAGCTGTCATAATCAAATCAAGTTCTACATCCTTAACAATCGTATATAACTTATGGGAATGAAACGTATATCACAGCTGCTATAGACAACAAAATTTGAAAAATTTCCAAGTCAAAAAGATACTAAAAATGGTAATTACATTAAATTAGGATCATGGGAAAATTAAAATAATGAAATAATTAAGTTAGTTTATCAATTAATTAATAAATATTTATTGATTTCTACCTCAATTTTAGGATCAATCCCTCCCAGCTGAATAATTCTCGCCAGTTCATCATAGAACAGTGCTGCTGCCTCTGGAGTCTGGCTGATGCTGTTCCGTATCATTTCTAACATGCTCACAATCTGCCATTAAGTAGCATCTTAGCTAATCAGTTTCCTTGCTCAATTATAACACCCAGCCTGCTGCTATTGCAGGCACCTTCAACAAGAAGTATTCATATGAAGTATATTTATAACTTTCCCAGGTTTCATTACATCAGGTAGTTATTTAATACGTACATGAGCACATGAACGTCTTTATTGGTGAGGTGGCATGTTCAATATACATCTATAACTGAGCTAATTGCAAAAAAGACATCACCACTGACAACAGTTTTTTTTTGTACAAATTACATGTAAAATGATTGATTTCCAGTTTAAAGTGCTTGATCTTTCACAGCCATAACAAGTTGCCATGTGGCTGAAACAGCAGCCTGACCATCAGATGGTATTGACAGCAACTGCAGGAAGGCTTCTTTCTCTGCAGATTTACACTATGAAAACTGTTCGAAATAATTTACCTGTTTGTACACTTCATTGGAAAGAGTGGATCTTTGCTGGGACTGTGTATCCATTGTCTGTTCAGACCCCTCCTCCTCAGATCTGTGACATTGCAAAGAAACAGGAAATTGAAGGACATGATTTACATTAAATTAATGATACCCAGTTGTGCATGTTTAGGACTATTTTGAGACCCAAATTTGGCCTCATGGTCAAGTAGTGAAGATTTAAAGGCCTAAATCAGGATCACTGTTGTGGGGTAAGACTTTTCAAACTCATTAATAATTCATCATGTTAAAACAAAGAAAACCACAACCGTAAAGGAGGTTTGGATACCGGGCTTAATTAGCACAGATTTTGACAATTCTAGTTCTCTGTTTACTCCTTAGTTTGTATTTCGATCGAGAAGATAGATCAAACACTTGAGACAGTGTTTCATCGGCTATCCAAACAACTCAAATTTCGTCGAAAATACTCCACTGCATGTCGTATTTTCAACTGTCTTCTCGATGTTTGGATATCCTGATGAAACACTATCNTACAAAGAAAGCTAAAACATCCAGAAAATACAGAGAACACAACTACATTGTTTCGTTCTAACATGAAATTAATGCGTGACATCTTTATGCAACATGACGTAACAATGCCTTACGTAATTAATTGTTAAGATTGTTGAAGCCAATACTACTAGTCACATATTTGAGAGACACCAATGGGTATGTAAATATTATTCTGTGTTAAGTATATTAATCCTGGCATCTGTTAACTATAATTCTAATCTGTTAATAGATTTCGAAGACATTTCTGTGAACAAGATGACTGAATAAACTGTGAAATATTTGGAACCTTGGCTTTGGCTACCAATCTTTTGAATCATTTTGCTAAATCATACAACTTTAGAAACACAAGGGTGGCTAGACTGGTACCTGAATTAGTCCTCCATCTTGTTGGTTTGTAAAGGCCAGAGTACTTAACATACCAAACAGCTTTCGTATTTGTATCACAGTGAGGTTGTCCAGGTAATCTAAAATACCCTGAAAAGAGCAATTTACATCATCTACATTACAGAGAAACTGATGCATAAGGAATTAAGAGTAACTATCATCAAAAGTGGGAAGTAACAACAACCAAGTCCCAAAGGTTATTTTTGTTTTTTTGCTAAGACAGGGCTGTGCTCTAGAAATGCCCGCGTGCCACAGGCAACTAACTTTTGCTTTCAGGTGACTGGAAAAACTTACTTTTTTCATATAAGCCTAAGTGCTAGGCACCCAGGATTTCATGGCTAGGAACCTTTGGACTCCTAGCAAGACCACAGCCTTGCTTAGAAGGCGACTTCCAATTCCATCATGAACATAATTTTTATCAGAATGTCCTGATCAATCTGTTTGTTTCCGACTCTGATCCACAGTGTTTGCATGAGGTCTAGCACTTCATACTCCAACTCAGATACTGACTCCATGGCCAATGTCAACTAGTCATAAGTATTGGAATTGTTCTAGTCTCCTCTTTTAAATACAAGTAACATAGTTGCAATTTTCTTTGCTAATACATGTACTTTGCACAAAATAGAAAAATAAGTTTAAAAAAAACACTTTCAAAATTTACACATACTTACTTTAATAAATATCGCAAATGGCGCCATAATATCTGGGTGTGATTCAACAAGATCTGACAGCACATCTAAAGATGCATCCGCTTCTGCTGCATATCCGCTTCCAATGTGAGTCACCAAGGTTCCTACTATCTCCTAGATTGATACAGTGTATTGATAGATAAGTCAGCCCAGTGTTAACAATAAATGACAGAAATCTCATGCACTCCATTATCAGGAGGATGGCTGATGAGATTACAGAGCAGAAGTTAGCAACGCATTACATCGCAAGTTCTTTTTCAAGCTAAAGAACATAGGCTACATTTTCAGAGATCGTGCTTACTGTACATGTAGGTAGTGCTGGCCAACACTATAGGCTGATATATTGGCCAACACTCAGTCAATATACATCGGCCAAGTATCAGTTGACACACAGTCGGTTGAATGTCAGTTGAGTATTAGTCAAGTAACAGTCGAATGTCAATCAAGTATCAGTCGAGTATCGGCCAATATGTCAGCCATTACTCAACTGACACACATATCGGCCAATGTATCAATCGGTACTTGACAGATACCCAACAGACGTGTGTTCCCAGCTACTCAATACAAGACCAATACTTGGTTGACATATCGACCGAGTGTCAGTCGATACATCGGTCAATAGTGTAAACCAAAATTACCTAGAGTAAACATGATCTACATTTTCTATAGAATAGATGCTGTTTTTATTAGTAAAGAAAAACTTGGATTACAATGTCATCTATTTATACCTGCTGACAGTAGAGGTCAAACGATACAAAAGCTAACTTGTACGTGGCACAAGCATAAGAACAGACAGAAGGGTCGGGAGATCGCAGAAGAACTTCAGCCAATGATAACAAGTTTGAGAAGTAATCCCTCAGAATCTAAAAAATAACAAAAAATACGATAAATTACAAACCAACCATGGTAACAAACCACTGTTGGTTTTTTGAACATCTCTAAATACCTTCCAATTCTTATTTTAAAATTTCCTGTTAGTGATTTCATTTTTAAAAGAGACAAAAGAAGTGAATGGTAGATGGTGTGCTTGTGTATGTGGTCTCAGAAGCTTGACTCTGTTCAACAGCGCTTGTTACGGGACACCCTGATGATTAAAAACTTAAAAAACAAGTTTTATTAAATTCAGGCAGCCCACCCTTTTGATAGAAACTGTCTAGTGTTTCAGGTTTTGTAAAAAACCGTTATTTAATAACAATTCATTAATTACATGTAACAGTTTTCACAAAACCTGTAACACTAGAAATTTGCTACAAATTTGCTACCTGCATTTAATATCACTTTTCATTATTCCTACCTGTGTGTGTGAGTTAAATGCAGCGCTCAGCATCTCCTCAGTGAAGTGGCCATTTTTTATTTTATTCCTAATCAAACTTTCCATAGCTTTCTTTCTATTAGCAGTAGAGTGAAGGATAAGCAGAACAAACAAGTCTACAACCTGTAAAAATGACACAAAATAACAGGGCTCAGTTTAATAGTTATGTATTGCACTGGGAGGCAACATGATTAATGTAAGACCCCACCTTGTGCTTTACGGAAGAGTTGACGGATTCTATAGCCTGGAATTCAAAATTCAAAACAAAATTATATTAACCACCAATAAGTTTATAAATTCTCAATTTTATTTAAAAAAAGAAAAACAAAACAAACAAACAAAAAAACAATAGGAGATTTACAGACCTTATAATTCTGAAATATTGTCTAGTACTCTCAGAAATGTGTACACAATAAACTAACAGCCTAGATTTTAATTACCTATTCATGTCCCTTACCTTTATCCATCCCTCTGCAACAGATCTCTGAAAACGTATTCCTGAACGGATTGCATCCAGGGTAAAAAGTTCCCCATCATTTGTCTTGTTCAAAAGTGACCTTAATCAGACAGCAAATTATTTGTTATATCGTACAGTTCTGAAAGGAACAAGCCTAGTTATTTCCAATTTACAGTGACTGCAGTGGTAGCCTTATTCTATTGCTGCTTTTGAATTTCATAACTTTTAGGTACCTAACATATGCACCACAAGTCATGCAAGCCACTCTATCTACATAAAACAGAAATGTTCTTGATAATTAGAGAGGGGAAACGGACATAAACTCTTGTTGAAGGTNAGGGCAGCATCTCGATAACTGACACTCGCACCTGTGATTGTTTGAAAATAACTCTTACTGGTACATTGTATTCTATTCATTTTTGTTCCTATGAATTCAAACTAAATTAATACTATTGCCACACTCATTCCAAACCAATTTTCCAGATTTCTTTTCTCCAGAATCATCTTCCCATAACTGTGATCAGTAAAATGCCAATGGACATGAGAGCAGCATCACAGACATTGCTGTGCAGCTTGTTCAAACTTCAGCAGTTCTTTTGCCAATGATTAGTCTTACTAGTCTTAATTTGTATTAAAGAACATCAATTGGCAGGTGATTTGGAAAAATGTTAGTAAGACTAGTGTGTTATGGTTCTCAGTCATGAAAAGTCTTGTACCAAGTAATATATCAAACACGATAAGTCATTCCAAAACTTTGAAAATTCCAGAACTTTGATAACTGACTGACATCAGTCATCCAGTATTTTTGACAGACTAAGTTGAGATGTTTGGAAGTGTGGTTGAACACTGTCTCGAGTATTTGATATACATGTATCTTCTTGAAACTAAAACCAAGGAGAAAACAGAGATGAGATAAAATCACAAAAAAATCTATCAGTAAATTTGTTGATTTCAAATAATACATGTTAGAACACTGTCATTCACAGGTATCATTTATTTTAAAAATACATATTTATTAATGAATTATTAAGATCATGGAATGTGCTTAAAGTTTGAGCAATGCAAGTGCAAAAATTATTTACAAAAATCTGTTCATAGCATGGTTACAATTTTGAATACTATTTGAAACAACCTAATTTAATTCAGTTCTCCATTAAGTGACACTGCGATTCATTTGGTAACTTTATTTTTGCCTTTATTATTTGAATGTTCAACAGAAGCTGTCTTAATGACTTTGAGAAAGTAGATATATACCTCATATTGATTTGGTGATGTGACTCACCTCTGCTAAGAGGTCTGGCCTTAAGCTCAGATTGGACAGAGCATCAAGAATAGAAACAGTTAGTCCAGTGTTCTGACAAAGAAGCTCGCTGTGCAACAAGAGTGAGGTCACATGACATTGTATTAGAACCCTGTTGTCAATTTTGCTAACAAAGGTGGCTCATATTGATTCTTCACAGGCACACTGTCCCAACTTTAAAAGGAGAGGAGTTGGGAAGGTGCCTCCAAAAAATACTTACAATGAGCCAACTTAAGTCTGTTGGGGCAGATCAAGGGGAGTTTGGAAGTTCGGTCAAACCCTCTAAATTAAAAAAAAATGAGAGACTATATAACAAGCTGATTTTTCCTCAGAATGTCTGAGATCCCATTTCTGAGGACCTCAATTTCAAATATTTTCTGGCATAAGATGCCCCAGACCCCCGACAGGGGACAGCCTTTGGCAGTCCATATCTCTAACCCCCTTCTCTAAAATCATGTACCTGCCCCAGGTCTGGTTAACAATGATACACTAGGAATAAAGCTACATTTAGGATGATGTAGGGTTTTCATTAAGGGCTGGGCACTGTACAAATTGACCAGCTATGCAGACAATTTTGCCAAGCTGGTTTGACCATATAGCAGAAAGTTTTCCTAACAAAGAAGTTCAGTTCCTAATAATTTTGTTCACCTGTGAAAACCAGTTGCCCTTCTACTGAAAATGTTAATGAAACCCCTGGAGATGGGTACTTTAAACAAAGTTGACAAATATACAGTGACACTTAAACTGACCATCAACCAACTGTACCTCAGTTTCCTAGCAACCTCAGTGTGTTCTGAATCATCCAGCACCTCAGGAATACATGTGATGATTTCACGCTGGATGTCTAGAGATGTTATGCTAACCATCTCTAGCATTTTTTCAGTCAATTCCTAAATTTCCAACAAAATAATATATTACTCAGACTTGCAAACTAGAGTGATGTTGGCAGTCCCCAATCTGGTACTAGTAAATTACCCTCTCATTTCTTGTTAAAAAGTCTCCTTTGGTAATGTGTGGTTCCAGAAAATACCCTCACGCATGCCATGGAGGGTTATTAGAAATTCCAAAAAGAAGGAGATGGATCTTTCAAGAGGGATGGGAACTTCAAACCAAAATACCTTCCATGGGAGGGGTATGAATATTTTATGAAATTAATTTGTTTAATGTTTTAGTCATGAGGTACATCAATATTTCTAAGTGCTTAAATACATGTTCAGCAGTTGAGAAGCAAAGGACAAAAACTACATATGATTATTAAAACTACTAATAATTATATTACCAAGAACTGTTCTGATGTAGTAACATCCTACCTTACTCTGCGCAATGAAGTCAAGCCATCTAAACTGGTTTAGGACCAGGTGAGGGATATTGAAATCATCTACACCATTGCTGAAACACCAGATAAAATTTCACTTTTTTCACTTTTGAATATCTTCCATGCAGTGCAAAACTGCAGGCTTGGAAAATTCTACATCACATATTTTTGTTTTATATAATTTAAACAATAATATTTATTCATTAAAAAATATATAACTGAANACCCATCTTGAATAACCACCCACCAAGTAGATAGGAAAAAGTAATAAGTGTCCCACCTCGAATAAGTTAGTATTTTAAGTTTTCTTAGTACTTTAAAGAAGCTCTTAGCTTAATGAAAAGTTAAAATTCTGCTTTGGTACATCGATCTTCATGTTTTGTTATATATAAATTATTTGTTGTTTTGTTGCAAAATAACCTTACTTATAACCTTACTAATTGCTAAAAATTGGGCAAATTTAATAAGCATCCACTTTCAAGGACCAAAATTTTATAAGCACCCATGAAGGCGCTTAATCAAATAAATATGGTATCAAACAAATTTGTCTTGATTATCTCTTCTATTTCTTGAGGTGTAATTTTGGTCATTGAGGCTTTTAATTTCGCTAACTGAAGCAGCGCAACCTTATACTGTTAATTTTAAGTCATTACCTCTGGATAATTTTGATGAGTTTTCAGGGAATTCCTAATTTTCTTCTGGAAAATAGAGCTATCAACCTCTGAAAAACAAGAAATATCACACTTATACCTACTGCAGTGGCACAGGTATACAGTTTGTCATATAAATTTATACAAATCACAAGAGATTAGGGTATGGTGTAAGATTAGGGCCTGCAACTCTCACTCAAAGAAGAACAAAAAAAGTTGGTCTTAGTGGGCTTCATTTCAGTATCCACAATTTTATCATTAGGTGCATTCAGACTTATGCCAATAGTATCATACAATTATCATATTTTTAACATGATGCACAGACTATGGAGGACTAATTTCTGGCACTTTATGGCAAGAGTGAAGGTGACACACACATTTGGAAATTTACCTAATTCATCTTGCATCTGGCCTGAGTTTACGTGAAGTCCTGCCTGCTGCACCATGGCATGAAACAATGTGGGCTCCACCTCGGTGCCACCAATTGTCCTGTGGTTGTTAGCACCATGTCTTGAGCGTTTGGCTGAACAACAAAAATAATGGTGAATACATATAGCACATAATATAATAACAGGTGACCTTCAACTGCAGTTTGATGAACTTGTACGGGGTCTCGTAGCAAACTTGTAAGTTTTCTACATGGAGAACGAGGCCACATGTGACTCAAAACTTAATAACAGCCCTGATTCATACCCCATTACATTGATTACAGGTATTTGAACCCCTCCACCTTACCAATAGAAGTTTCAACATATACCATAAATAATATCCTTAATGGCCCTTCCACAACCCGGCACCAATTATTTAAAGATAAGTTTTTCCTACAAGGGTGCTATGTTGTGGAACAGCCTTTCTCATTAACTCTGATCTACAGTTTCTTTAAATGAATTTAAAGGTAAACTGCATCATACAGCTTTGAATGAGACACGGCATCCTTGAAAAGCAGCTTTAGTAATATGATACGTTTTTATTCTTATACTACTATATTAATAATTAGTTAGTTTAGTTAGGCAGACTTAGATATTACACTTTTAAATTATGCTCAAGGAATTTTTACTGTGTATAAATAAAGTTATTAACTCAACTCAACTCAACTCAACTCAACTCAACTTTTGGTCAGCAACCAAGAATTGAGAACCTCCTTAAGGTTAGTTTGCTTCTCTGGCTTTGTCACTAACTTTTTGATAAACAATATTTGAACAGAGGATAGGCACTAGTCATAAGACAAAAGCAATGCAGGCAGCAAGTAAGTGAATGTGGGCAAAATTCAAATAAAGGGAGTAACCATGTCAACCTCCCACAGGTCACCTCCCCCCGGCACCTGTCATGCTGATCTCTCCACAGCAGGGAATAACCTGAACACAGGCCAGGGACCAAGGTCTAAACACAGCAAAGCTACTCAAAGCAAAACCACAAGGGCAAATATACCCAGCAATGACTCAAATGCAAGTGCACAAGTCAATTACCAGCTGGCCATCAACAAATCTCCCAGTTAACTAAATATATTTATCGATCTGATAATCTCATTTTGAAAGTAGGTTCCAGAAATTTTTAGGTGTCTTCAATCTTGCTTGTATCCTCCAGGGGTAGTTCTTCTTGCCTTTTTACTTGACGCCAAACTCCAGCTATACAACAAACACTTAGGCTGTATTTACACTTAGTGCCTAAGCATCGGTACACAATAGTGTTGCATTCAGATACTTGGTACTCCAAGTACTTGAGTGCGATTAGTGTGCAGGTACAAGGTCAAGACTTTTTACCCAAGGAGCATGGGCACTATGCCCAAATTTTGGTGTGAGAACTTGGAAGAAAGGTGTTCACATTAGTGCCAAGCAACAATAGTACTCGGGCACCATGCTCAGGCACCAAGTGTGAACATTATCTTAAAGGGGATCCTTCTTAACTACCAGTTGGTCATAAATTTGTTACTAAGGGAGGTTTCTAACGGTCATATTTTGAAAGCAAGACCTCCTAAGGATACGGTTTTTGAACAGGTTTGTTCTACTGAAGACTCTTGCAAAAGTTTAAAATGATGGCCATATTTGACCAATCACATGACCACAATAGAAAAAGCTTAAAAGGAATGTAATTCCGAAAGTTCAAATTAGCATCAACTCAATACATTAAGAATGTCTATGTGCTTAATGCTACACAAGGATTTTATGAAACTGGCATTATCATAAAAGTTATAAGGTAGTAAACACCCGTATTAACATACTTTCCACAGTAGCTTTCCTTTTTTAGATGTAAACAGTAATTCCATACATGTGATTATATAGAAGGCTAAGATATGTCTGATTCATAAGAAAAATCGGAATTCTTCCTCTTTTCTTCCAAGTTTTAGGGATTTAAAATTTTAACATAAAGACATTCAGTTCTACAAAACAGGGCAGAATTAATAAAGAACCTTTTCTTGGCCATGCTGCGTACAACCATTATAGCTCCTATTATACCAATCCTCTTATATCTGAAACATGACAAGCCAAGAAATGCGTCACTGTAAATATGGTTTTGTCAAACAATAACTCAAGTCCAATAACCTATGCCATAAATTGTACATTTCAAAGCCTCATGATATTGAACAATAATAACGTCTCACTTGGCAGAGTTACTTGACAATTGTTTTCTTATAACAATGTGCATGTCATCCTAGAAAACAATAACAAATGATCCATTTGTGAACGAAAAAACAAATATAAAATACATGGATCCACATTTTTCAAAATGGCATATTCTACATACACATTTATTTGGGTTAATCAGTATGTCATTGACTTTGGTATAAAAACAAAATAAGCCATTCACCACGCAGGGGGCGTATATGGTTGCAGGCAGACTACCTTCTTCAATTCCAACTGGGATCAATTTTGTAATTAAAAGCAATATTTACAAATGTACTGATCATTTTGTGACCCTCACAGTGCAAGTCCAAAAATCGCAAACACCAGAAATATCGATTGGTATTTATAAAACATTATTGTGTAGAAAGGGAAAAGCCAATTAGGCATGAAAACAATAAACCACAAACAGTAACGGTAATTAAAATTGTGGTTTGTGGTTTTGAGGTTTGCTCATGTGTCCTAAACCTCGTTGTGATTAGTCAGTACATAACTGACCTGTCAGAATCAAATCAAAGTGTTCATGGTTTTTTTACTTGTATGGACAGTAAGGGGGAGCATTATGACTAGCACATACAAAGAAAGCTAACACGTCCAGAAAATACAGGGAACACAACTACATCGTTTTGTTCTAACATGAAATTAATGTGTGACATTTTTATGCAACATGACGTAACAATGCCTTACATAATTAATTGTTAAGATTGTTGAAGCCAATACTACTAGTCACAGGTTTGAGAGACACCAGTGGGTATGTAAATATTGTTCTGTGTCAAGTATATTAATCCTGGCATCTGTTAACTATAATTCTAATCTGTTAATAGATTTCGAAGACATTTCTGTGAACAAGATGACTGAATAAACTGTGAAATATTTGGAACCTTGGCTTTGGCTACCAATCTTTTGAATCATTTTGCTAAATCATACAACTTTAGAAACACAAGGGTGGCTAGACTGGTACCTGAATTAGTCCTCCATCTTGTTGGTTTGTAAAGGCCAGAGTACTTAACATACCAAACAGCTTTCGTATTTGTATCACAGTGAGGTTGTCCAGGTAATCTAAAATACCCTGAAAAGA